TTTACTCAACATAGATCAGCCATGATTTCAGTGTCACAAATACTGTGTCTTAATATTGCAGTTACTTATTGACGATCTAGCACTGATATAAATGTTTGCTGAATTGGGCATGGCAAATGAAACACTTTTTCCAGAATTCTCATTGTGGATTATTTTCTGAAAATATTTTGCGAGAATTTAACTTTGCTTCTGGGAAGCAATGTCAGAGAGAAGTCAATGGGGAAGCTGGGGGGCACCTGTTGGTCCAAGGCTAGCAAGCAAGCAAGTGGCTGTTGCTGGGTGAGAGAGGAGATGAGGGGGTACATGGGGTTGTGTGAGAGGTGCTGGATGGTTGGAAAGTGTGTGTGTGTGTTGTGTGCCACATGATTGGGGAGGGTATACTGTAGGTCAGGAAGGGTGCTTTGGTATCCACAAAATGTGCGAGTTAGGTAGGGCACACGGGAGGGGGTTGATAGTATAGGCTGAGAAATGGGGGGTCATGAGGATGTGTAAGAGGTGCTGCAAAGGTCAAGCAGGGTGGACCGTCAGGGGGACGGCACAGGTCAAGAAGAATCAATGGGGGTCACAGGAGGATGTGACAAGTGCCGTGCAGGTCAGGGATGGTGTGTGGGTGATGGCAATGTGGATTCAGAAAGTTGTTTGGGAGTGTGCAAGAATGTGCATGAGGTGCCATGCAGCCCAGAGATGGTGCACAGGAGGCTGGCATTAGTTGGGAAAGGTGCATGGACTACCCAAGATGTGCTGCGCATGTCAGGGCTGATGTGGATTGAGAAGGGTGCATGGAGGCATGCAGGAGGTGTCGTGTGGGTTAAGGATGGAATATATACCTGAAGGATCAGTGGATAAAGGTTTTGGCAACAAACTGCACTATATCAAGCTGGATGGGAGAGGGAAGAAGAGGTTCAGGATAGCCACACCCTAGAATCTGTCAGGTTGTATCTAGTAGGTTAAAAAGTTATAGCTTTAGTTTGACAAGACTCTGGTCATTAAGTGTTAAGCAAAATAAAATATTAAACTTGATTGAATCTTGTTGGGTTCTTTGGGCTTGGCCTATCATGGGGGTGAGCAAGAGATCCTGTGTGAGCCAGGGAAGGCACATAGGGTGGCCTCCCCTTTCCATTAGGCAGGTAAGTGCTGAGAAATGGGTGACTGGGAAAATGTCTTAGATTGTTGAAAATGCAGATCACATGACTGCAGGAGCAGCCCAGTGGCACAGCAGCCGCCACAGCTTCTCCAAATGCTGGGTCATGAGTTCCAGATTTTGGACACATTCTGTAAGTTAGCTTACTTGTGGTTCCCCGATTCAAAAATTGTTGACCTATGATGCATTACTTTGTCCAAGTAAAAGTCATGACGACAGTTTTAGTAGTATACAGCTTGTTTCCTTGTATAATTACCAGTGCAGTCTAATACTTGCTTTCTCAACCGGGTGAATTCCCATATTAGTCCGTGTTCTAGTTGGCAATTTTTACAGTGTTTCTGGTCCCTTTACTTTTTGCTATACATATATTTCTGACTTTCAAAATAGCACTGATCAAATACTGATCTTTACTGTGATCAGCCCAATAAAGCCTAATACATTAAAAAACAAACAAACAAAGATAAGGTCGAGATAATTTAACACTGTTATGTTACTGCCTCCTCCACTCTATCTGGCCTTTTTTTCACTTTAAGTGGTTAGAAAGAATGTTAAGACAGCATATAGACCAGTGATGGCTAACTTTTGCTGTCGCGTGCCAAAAGCGGGGGGAGCGCAGCAAGGTCGCCCATGTGTGTGCCCACACCCATAATTCAATGCCCCCCACCCCTGCGCATGCCCCCCCCTTTTAGCACATGATGGCACAGTGAGCCCGGTAGGCCCGTTTTTCATCCTCCCCAGGTTCCAGAGGCTTTCTAGGAGCCTGGGGAGGGCGAAAACAGCCTTCCCCACCCCCCGGGAGGCCTTCCGGAGACTGGAAACAGCCCATTTCCCAACTTCTGGTAGGACCAAAAGGCCCCAAAATCAGCTGGCCAGCGCACACATGTGCGCTGGAGCTGAGCTATAGCAACGCTCGTGTGCCAACTGATACGGCTCCGTGTGCCACCTGTGGCACCCGTGCCATAGGTTCACCATCATGGATATAGACTATAAGCCAGAACTATTTCTGTTAGTCAGAAAAATATGATAAATGTCTTGACAGCAGCAAGAACTGTATTTGCACAATATTGGAAGAATGAGGAAACACCAACAAAAGAAGATATAATTTTAAAAATATTAGACCGTGCAGAAATGGACAGATTAACACTGAAGATAAAAGAAAAGGAAGACACAGAGTACTATCGAACATGGGATTTGTTTTATCAATGGTTGGATAACAGAGGTAGAAATTAGGATTTTAAAGAGTATTATACTATGTAAGCAACTGACTCAGTATGCTGTTCACTAAGCACTTATTGTATGTAAAGAAAATATATATAAATAAATGGGGGGGGAGAGAAATGGTTTATTTCAATTTAAATGTTCTTAGGAGAAAAGATCACATTCCTGTAATAAATGCATGTTTGCCCTGGCTAGAATAATAGTTAAGAGAGTGTACCATAAGGACTATAATGGCAAATGGAAAGATAACTGATACATACATTCATTAACTTTCTTCAACTAAGCAATTTGTCACACCTGATCTCTAACCTCCTCTGCCCTTACATGTTACCAAAATGTATCTGATACTCTTTCCTCTTCCCTTTTCTGAATCTGAGGGACCTTTGGAGATCTTAGAGATAGTATGACATTTCCCCTTCCCCAAGTCTGTTGGCCAACATCATCACAAATTGTTGTGTACAGGCATTGGTGCAGGTGATATGGAATTATATCCTGCAATGAACTGGCCAAGAGAACTTCATCTTATTCCAGGAGTAATTGTTACCATAGAGCCATTCTGATACACAGGGAGAATGTGGGACACTTATTGTCACAGATACCAAAGCAGCTAAATGGACGTCTTAAGAATGCTGAAACTTAGAATCGATCCATGTATCCTCCTGCCAACTGTTAGCAACTACGAGAAAAAAACAGTAAATGGAGCAGTTTTCAACTTTTTCCTTTGAAACTAAGGATGCAAGATCTGCCTTATTGCTACTTTTTCCCCCCAAGAAATAAGTTTTTGAAACAAGTTTTTTAACAAAGGCAAAAAAGCTCGAGAAGTACAATTTTTCTGACAAAGTTCTACTCTTTTTAACTTACAGTTTGGCCATTGGCATTTTGCCATGTATAACAACCCATATAAACATTTGTTCTCTTAATCATTAGCTTTTTTTGTTTTTTTTGCCTTCCAGTCAATGTTGATTCCTGGCAATTGCCTGGACAAGTCTCTGCTGGGTTTTTTTGGCCAGATTTTAGAAGAGATTTGCCCTTGCCAGCTTCCTATGGCTGAGTGTGTGGGATTGGTCCAAGGTCACTCAGCTTTGCTTTGTTTTTAAGGTAGGACTAGAAGTCACGGTCTCCCAGTTTCTAGCCTGGTGCCTTAATCACTACACTACACTAGCTTTCAAGCATTAGTTTAGGCCAAGTGTCTCAGCCATGGTGGCTTGAAGAGATATGGATTTTAACTCTCACTCAGCATACTGACTGAAGAATATTGAGAGTTGAAGTCCACACATCTTAAAGCTGCCAAGGTTGAGGAACATGGTTTAGGCAAAGAAAGATGTTGCTTGTAAGATATACTCGCAGGCATAAGGCAAATTCTTATCAAGAGAGGTGCAGTAGAGAATGTTTGATGTCTGATAATTTATTCTTTTGTGACCACATTTAAAAAGTTAGGAAATATTTAAGAACTGATGGCAGAGAAATTCACAATGAGTAGACTGAACATATAGAGTTGTTTTTTTTTAAAAAAAAACTTCTTAAATGAAGTTTTTCATCCATAAAAGCTAATGCCAACCAGCATGGCCTAAAATTTGTGGTCTTTAACAAATCCTGATGTTACCAAACTGGGAAGGCTAGTTTATGCCACAATAAAAACATTTAGAGGGGAATCAATGGAGTGTTTCATTCAAAAGCTCATCTTTTCCCTCATATTACTTTCACAGGGTGAAAAATTTCATGCCTTCCTACTCTAATCCACTGTTCACAATAGGTATGAAATAGCAGCTGATAGGTATAATTTTCTCCACAATAGTTTAATCCAGCATTCAGGCAGTTAAGTATTTTGAGTCTGCCTTGCTCAGATGCCACCATTTAACTCTGCTTTGTGGATTAAAAAACAACAACACACGGATGTGATTAATGTTTGAATGGGGGACCACCCGGAAATCATAAGGCTGCAAGTTAGACTGGGAACTTAAAAAAAATATATCATGGAAAAGAGCAGGGTTAAACAACTCCCCTATTCTTTCCAACAAAATCAGGTCCATGATGAAGTCATCAGAGCCTTGGTGGCGCAGCAGACTAAAGCACTGTTAAGTAACACTAGCTGCCTGCAATTACTGCAAGTTCAAATCTCACCAGGCTCAAAGTTGACACAGCCTTCCATCCTTTCGAGGTAGGTAAAATGAGGACCCGGATTGTGGGGGCAATAAGCTGACTTTGTATAAAAAAGAACACCGCTTAGGGGGGTGGGACGAAAGCCCTACTAAGCAGGTATATACAAAAGTATGAAGGCTATTGCTTAACGCATTGTAAACTGCCTGAGTCTCCGGAGAAGGGCAGCATATAAATCGAATCAATCAATCAATCAATCAATCAATAGAGCGAGCCCAGCAGTTATTTTTTATAAATCTTGCTAATACACTTAGAATTTAAGATTTATAATAACTTTGTCACTTTGAATATACACTAATCAACATACATTAAAATAAAATTTCGTTGCCTAGAGCTCTCAATGGGTCTCCCCTTTGAGATACAGAACTAACTGAAAAAGTAGGCGTTTTTAAAAATTACCTACTCTATTGACGTATTTTCCTCACTGTATTCCTTCTTTGCCATTGTTTAGTTTTACTTCTGTTTACACTCCTTCCATTTTTCTTCCTGTCTGTTATTATAAGCCACCCAGAGTAGCCCCCACGGCAACATATCAAATAAATTTAATAAATAACGTAAGCGTAAAGCTTTTTACTGGAAACTTTTTTCCCCCTACTAAAGTCAACTACTGGGGCAAGGTTGCCACAACAGAACGAATCGAGGCAACACAGCCTACTTTTACTATCCAGGTGCACCGAGTGGAAAACAAGGAGCAGGCGACGGAGCAGCGCTACAAGCTATATACACCCCAAGACCGACATTCATCCCAAACAGGTTTCAGGTAACTCTTACACCGTCGCTTTAAAACGGAACCCACCACAATCCGGACCCTGCTACACACAAGCTTCAGAAAGCGGAGCCCGGTAAACGGCCCTCTTTTTATCTTGCAGATGATTCCTCTAAGACTCGAGAGCTGCCGAGCGATGAGGCGGGGAAGATGAAAAAGAAAAAAAAACGGACTCTTTTTTCCCCTCTTTCTACACGCCAGACTCTTTGAAATAGGAAAATCATGGCTTTTAGAGTAAAGCGGAGAAAGAGAGAAATGCAAGCGTGGAGAGGAGAGGAGACTTGCCCGGAACTGGAAGGCGAGGCGAGCTAATGTGGAGAGCAGGAGGGTGAAGGGGGGGCGGACATCGAGACGGGATGCGTCTCGCAAAGCGTGTCTCGTTTGGGGTGCGGGGGGGGGGGGGGGCAGCTGGTTGCGAAGCCCTTCCATTGAGGGGCGGCCATCCATTGAGACCTGCCATTGAGGGGCGCGGCCTGTGGCTCGCAAGGGGACCCGAGGAAGGGGAAAAGGGGGATAGGAGGAAGAGAGGGCAGCGTCGCCTGTCGTCCGGGCCCTTTCCGGCGCCTTAGGGACTCCCCTTTTGAGCGCCCCTTTCCCCTCGCTTTTCTTCAAGCGCTCGCTCCTCGCTCCCTCCCTCCGCTGGGTCTTCCACGCACGGCCAGCAAATGGCATTCAGCCACGCAGCGACCGAATCGGGAGTCCAAGCCCAAGGGACGCTTTTTCGTGTTTTCCCCCGCTCGGGCTGCTGTTCTACTCACCGCTCTACGGGGTCCGTGGGGGGGCAGACGGCGAAGCGAGGTTGAAAGTGGGCGCTTTTTTAAAATATTTTTTTTTTTATTTTATTTGGCCGCGCTCGCAGGGCGAGGGGATTAAAAACGGCGGACTCCTCCCCCTTTCTCCTCCCGCCAGCTCCGTGTTGCTTTTCCCCGCCTCACCCCACGAGCGAGCTCGACCTGCCTGCCTCGTCCGTTCCTGATCCGGGCCTGGCGCCGGTGCACGTGTTACGTGCGTGGGGGGCTTCGGCCTCTGTTGGGGAAGTACCGTGGAGCTGCCCCCTTCGTCGCCTCTCCCGGGATCCGAAACGCTGGGGAAAAGCGGCCGGTGGGTGGCTCAAAGCCCCGCCGCGCTCTCTTACCTCTGGTGGGACGGTGGATCCTGAGCTCCGGCTCCTGGGATACGAGCCCAAATCCGCCTGGCTTTTTGATTGCTTTATCCGGAGAAACGCGCGTGTGCAAATGGCGAACAACCAGGTTTAATTTACAACTAGGCAAAGCTAAATTAAATAATCTCCCCGAAAGGGAGCTAATTACGTCGCTCATTCGACCCAAATCGGGTTTGGTTTGCAACAGCTGTGTCTCCCCCCCCACGTCTTGCGGGGCCAATAGATCTCAGGTGAATCTCTACCTCCGTCGAGATACTAAAGAGTAAAAACCCTTTGAGCTCCGAGAGATAAATGCAGTCAATATTATATAAAAGTTGTGTGCAAAACAAAGGGAGCCTCTGCGTTGATTTTGAAAAAGCTGAGCGGGGTCTGAGTTGGTTTCACCTCGGGAAGGAGACCACCAAGAAATCCAAGGCTGGAGGGTGGACTCGCAAATTAATATCACCACCACTAGAAGTCAGCATAGGGAAGCCTCTTCAGTTTGGCTCCGAAGAAAAGCTTACACGGAGTTGAGAAGCTCAACAGGGACTTGAGGCTGGGGAATGCTGTTGCATATTAAAGAAAATCATTTTGATTAATTGTATACAGTCTCATCTCAGGTTTACTAGCCTCTATATTTGAGCTCAGCTTTTCTTACAGGGATGTTGTAAAAACGGGGTGAACAATAAATCAAGATTTAAATAAAGCCGGCACTCATGACTATAACCATGTTGCTTGTATTTTTACGATTTATATTGTTCTGTTTGTTTCCTGGTATGATTTGATTGCTTATTAGTAACCTATGACTATCACTAAGTGTTGCATCTTTTTATTCTTGATGAATGTATTTTTTTCCTTTTATGTACACTGAGAGCATATGCACCAAAGACAAATTCCTTGGGTGTCCAATCACACTTGTCCAGTAAAGAATTCTGTTCTATTCAATTGTACATTTCTAGGGTTCTTTTTATTGTTAATTACAATAAACATTTATGATTCTGAATAGGAAGAGAATTAAAAACAAAACCATCAATTAATGAGATAAATAGAAGCCCAGGCTGCATATTTAAAATGATAACTTTTGCTGTAACTAGTCCTTTACGCAGTTGACCAGAACTAATCCCAAAACAAGTTTAGAGTAACTGAGGAAAGGTCACCCAATTTTTCATTTCTCAATTAGGTTCAGCTTCAGCATTTCGTCAAGTCTTTTCTGGAATTATCTTTTTCATACATGACAATCATCATAAATGACCACAGCAGGTGGCAGTGCCTAGCTGACCTTAGTTGACTCAGAACAGGGGTTAATCTATAGATAGAGAAGAAATCATCCTGCAGGAAGGCAATGGTGGTCTCTTAAGTGCAATGTTTCCCAACCTTGGGAACTTTAAGAAGTGTGGACTTCAACTCCCAGAATTCCCCATCCAGCATGGCTGGCTGTGGGATTTTGGGAGTTGAAGTCCATACATCTTGAAGTTCCCAAGTTTGGGAAACACTGCCTTGGTATCAAGGAAGTGACACAGGCATATCTGTGTAGCCATCATATTTGATGCAGGCTACCCCGATGTCCACAGGATAGGGTCCAAAAAGTCAAAATAGTGGTTACAGCAGCACACACAAAACTGCTAGTTTTTATGTACATTAAGAGTTTCAATCACCTGGTGGTGGCTGCCATCTTGACTTTTTGGATCATATGTAGATCCTCCTAGACGTAAGGCATATTTATATAATTGCATGGTATTTTTTTTAAAAAAAGTATCGAGCAAAACTGGAAAGTGGAACATAAGGTGAGAGGAAAACTATAAAGAAATACAGAGGATGGAGGGAGCTTATTATGAAGCAAGAATGGGAAGCTGAAACAAGGAGGTTAGGCTGAGCAAGGGCGGAAAAGAGAGAGCAAGAAGATGGAAAGGAGCCATTACATTGGATGTCCCCTTTTCTCCACAGCTTCTGATTCTCCTGCTCTACAGCAACACACAGAGATCACATCCATACAGAAACATGCCGGAGCATAAAAAGGTGCCATAGTACAAATATCCCGCCTGGACTATTGTAACGCTCTCTACATGGGGCTCCCCTTGAGGAGCACCCGGAGGCTCCAACTGGCGCAGAGTGCGGCCGCGCGGGTGGTAATGGGAGCGACATGGCGTTCCCATGTAACACCCCTCCTGCGCAAGCTGCACTGGCTCCTGGTGGTCTTCCGGGTGCGCTTCAAGGTTCTGGTTACCACCTTTAAAGCGCTCCATGGCTTAGGACCCGGGTACTTGCGGGACCGCCTACTACCACCAATAGCCTCCCACCGGCCGGTACGCTCCCATAGAGAGGGGCTCCTCCGGGTGCCGTCAGCCAAACAAAGCCGACTGGCGGCCCCCAGGGGGAGAGCCTTCTCTGTGGGGGCACCTACTATCTGGAACGAGCTCCCCCCAGAGATACGGAGGATCCCGGATCTGCGCACCTTCCGCCATGCCTTAAAGACCTTACTATTTCACCAGGCCGGCCTGGCCTAATTTTCCCCCTCTTTTATAAAAGATTTTTAAAATTTTAAATATCTTTTAGTATTTTATACATTCAATTTTAAATTGGTTTTAAAAGTTTGGGGTTTTAAATTTGTCGGGGCCAAAATTATTTAATTTGATTTTATTCTATTTTTAAATTTTGTATTGTATGTGTTTTTATTGTTTGGCTGTGCACCGCCCTGAGTCCTTCGGGAGTAGGGCGGTATAGAAATCTAATAAAATGAAAATGAAATGAAATGAAATATATGTTAAGTTCTACTAGGACAGGGTGGACAACTAGAGCAACTTGACCTGTGGACTTCTATTCCCAGAATCCCTGAGCCAGCATGGGATTCTGGAAATTGAAGTCCACAGATCATAAAGTTGTCATAGTTGCCCACTCCTGGACTATGATATTTAGGAAAAGGCCTCCAGCCTGTTTCTTTATTCTTGAACAGTAAATGTGTTTCTTTCTTTGTCTTTGACTTTTTCATCTCTTTCTTTCCCATTTCCTTTTGGAGAACAGGCATGATGTTTTCCCGTAACTGGGCTTTTCAAAAGCTTCCATTGCTTTTAACAGAAGAGAACTTTCTTCCTTGAAGCCTAATTATTGCAAGGAGGATGCTGCAGTGATCAGAGTCTCGGGTCCATTGACACTATTTTTTTACCCCTCCCTAAACCTAATTGCCATATAGAAAGTGGTGAGATCAGAATTAATTCTTTCCTCTCCAATGGCAAATCCATTACCTCACCTTTCTGGAGTAGCAATTAGGCCTAGGCAAAAAGCCTACTGCTTCTACATTGGTTTAAAAAGCTCATCCAAGACTCCTATATAGGTTGGGATCTTAGGCCCCAGGTAGACTAATGTCTCTGCCTTTCTGATTGCTTTGGTTCTCAAAAACTCTTCAATGTTGATATTTCAAAAGGACTCAAATGGGGAGGCGATGGCTCCTGGCGTAGGTAGTTTTAAAAAGGGATTTCTGAAGAAAGAGCTAAATGTGCTTGCGAAATTTAGAAATGGCTTTTGCCTCTCCTGAGGTTTCTGCAAGCGATTCTGTTAGGAGTAGCACCTAACACCTGGGTCTTAAGTCTGATTTCACTAGCTGAAACTTCCCTATTTAAATTGAGGTTGTGGAATTCTCTGCTCTACTTTCCTTGTTTCAGTGCATTCAACGCTGAAAGATGGGAAAGGACTGAAAGAACAAAGGAAAGTGCACTTAGGGTAATAATGATTTATTATTGGTGGCTCCATTATGGGTGATCTTTTACTCATTCCTTGTGGTCTGTAGATTTTAAATCTTTTATAATCTGTTTTTGCTACATGACCAGCCCATTTCCATTTCAATTCTTTTACTCTCTTGATGGGAGGCAAAGTTACTCGCATCCGTGGCAATCCTTAAGTCACACGTGCCTCCTGGGTGGTGCTAAATGAGTAACAGACGGACTGGTAGCCAGACATCCGCGAGGATCTCCTGGCTTCACACACAACCCCACGGTCCTTTTAAGACCTTACTGCTTTTTTATTGTTTTAATTGTTTTTAACCTGTAAAAATGAACTGTTTTAATACTGTGTGTGACCAGCCATACACTAAATAAATAAATACTCTCTTGATGATATCATAT